AAAAAATTCGAAATTATTAAATAGTTTCTTAACGCCAGTATTTTAACACTATAAGCATCTTTGTACGCTTGTACTACTTTTTAATTTCCGGCAACAAACTATGTAGTATTTGCCAATAAAGCATTAATATTTTATTGTTTCGACCTTTACTTGATGAAACTCCATGTCTCTAAGGTATAACTAGATAAAAAACAAACCCTGTTAGTAGATCCTTCAGAAATGATTTCAAACTTTATCTAATAGCAAACTTAGATAACACAATTAAGGTTTTAAAAAAAGTAGTGGAGCCCACTGCTTACTTTTCGCAGAGTGGACCACAGGACGACCTGTATACCTTCAAAAATTCCAAATACACTCGCCTTTGTGCATGTAAGCCAAGCGTTTCCATGGCCGGTAATTTTGCCTTAGTAAGGAATCCTTACTTAGCTGCTCATGGCATTCCACCTTTATACGGCTTTTTATTGTGCTAAAGAGGCGAGAGGTATGCATCGGTTGTCTACATATTTTGTATACTAGAAACGTTTATTTACACAAAAATATATGTAACAAAATATTTGCTTTAAAGTAACGTTTAATCAACGTAACTACATTTGTAAGAGTTTATTTTGGGTTTAGTGAAAGCGTTTAACCACACGAATTTATTTCAGACAATATATACGTTTAAAATGTACGTATAGTTTTGTTCATTTTATTCTTAACGATACATATTATACACACTGGAAAAGTTTATAAATGGTTTAATAAATTCGTTAAAAATCAAGTTTTTTTGAATATATACAGGGTGTTTCATAATATATGCGCAGGACTTCAGGATGTGATAGCTCATCCAAAAAGATGAAAAAAGTCGCTATTAACTTACCCTCTAAAATGCACAATTTTCGAGATACAGGGTGTTGAAATTTTAGAAAAAAAATCGTTTTTTTCGATTATCTCTGGAACCGTTTGTCGTACAAAAAACAGCTTTTGTAAGCATTTTCTCATAATAAGCTATGTTTTGTGCCAGAAAAAAATTTTTTTTACTCATAATTGGTGGAGATTTTGAAGGGGTAGCGGGTGTTTTTCTCCTTAACTTCTACGCCCCTGAAAAAAATACGGTTTTGAGAGGCCCATTCGAACCGCCAATGTTTTCTACACAGAAAAGGTACTCTTGGTCATAAGCTCTTAAGTTGACCGTTTTCGAGAAAAATCAACTTTTATATTTAAAAACATGTTCAATTTAAAAAAAAAAAAATTTATTACTAATTAAACAAAATTTATTTTCTCGATTTTTATGTAAGAATGTCATATTCTCGCACGCAAAATCGTTGAAGAATGAAGCTCATTCTTAAACGATTTTTGGTAACATTTAGTTTTTAAGTATTGGTACCCCCAAAATGTCAAACTGATTAATAACCTCAAATTCATTACTTTTATTGGAAATGAAGCCTTTATTATTGTTTTGTAATATAAAGTTTGCTCCAACAATGCATTTTAATGCAAAATTTTAAGTTTAATGTGTAAAAGTGCAGTTCAGGTTGTACTTGTGCAGGATAACAAATATTGTCATTTTGTGTTGCCAACTGACATTTTGCGAGAAAAATCCCCTAACTAGCAACGACCACAAAACAATTAAAAAAACCTAAATAAAAGTTAAAATCGAGAAAATAGTATAAATCCCACGTTGCAGAAGGCTATTCTCGCACTCATTCGTTCGAATTCGTGCGAGAATATGTGGCCTTCTGCAACTTGTACTTTAATATACTATTAACGTTAAAAAAAGTAACAAAACCAAACGATAATTGCAAAATTAAAAAAAAAATAAAAAATGATTTTTTACACAAATGCTGAAATGTTCAAAATTACGTTGCCTTTACGGTTTGGAGAATTTAGCAAAGACAACTTTTGAATCATTTTTTATTTTGCAATTATGGTTTGGTGTTGTTACTTGTTCTAACGTTAAAATAAATTTTGTTTAATTAGTAAAAAAAAAAATATTTTTTTTTAAATTGACCATGTTTTTAAACATAAAAGTTGATTTTTCTCGAAAACGGTCAACTTTAGAGCTTATGACCAAGAGAACCTTTTCTGTGTAGAAAACATTGGCGGTTTGAATGGGCCTCTCAAAACCGTACATTTTTCAGGGGCGTAGAAGTTGAGGAGAAAAACACCCGCTACCCCTTCAAAATCTCCACCAATTATGAGGAAATTTTTTTTTTCTGGCACAAAACATAGCTTATTTTGAGTAGAAAATGCTTACAAAAGCTGTTTTTTGTACGATAAACGGTTCCGGAGATATTCGAAAAAAAACGAATTTTTTTCTAAAATTTCAACACCCTGTATCTCGAAAATTGTGCATTTTAGAGGGTAGGTTAATAGCGACTTTTTTCATCTTTTTGGATAAGTTATCACATCCTGAAGTCCTGCGCATATATTATGAAACACCCTGTATACCCAAACAGTTTAATAAAAATTTAAAATCAACGATTCATTAACGTTTTTTTAATAACCGTGTAATAAAAACGTTTATATTTTATACCGAAACCTAAAATAAACGATTGTAATGTTTAATAAACGTTTATTACACCATCCGGTGTTGCTTGGGCAGTAAAATAATTTTGGTGGATTTTCTATCTTATATAGGTAATATTAGAATAAATTTAACAGAGGGGAATTATTTGTTTCTATTTGATCATTGTTAAATTTATTCTAATATTATATAAGATTGAAAATCTGTCATACCGTACTAATATTTAAAAAAAACATTACCTTCAATAATTGTGTTATTTAAGTTTCTTATTAGATAAAGTTGAAATCATTTCTGAAGAAGCTACATTGTCAGAGAAACAATTGTGTAATTAAATTAAAATTAATTCGTGGAACATTGTTTGTTCTTTATCTAGTAATACATTAAAGTATTAATCATTTTAAATGGAGTACTCATAAAAACATCCTCTTCACTTTCACTGTGAAAAACATTTTCCATATCGTATTTGAACTTGGGTTACTATATTTTTGTATGTCGCTTTATACCAATATTTAAATTAATTAATAATAAAATATTTTTTATAAAATTTTCTTTGAGTTAAATGCAAAACATTACACATTAAATTGAATTAATTATTTACTGTTAAAAGTGACAAGGTTGCATTAGTGACATTTACATCCCAAAAAACAACCATTGGATAGGGAAAATCAGAAATTAATAAATTATATACATACTTTTCTATATGCAACGAGAAAGAGAGAGAGACGAATGTTTTGTGAATGTATTGCGTTTGATTGTGTTCTCTTGCTTGTTGGCTTTGTTGGCTTAATTTCCCAAGTGATTTTCGACACTATACAGAGTGATTGGAAACTCCGTTTGAATATATCAAGGAAATATTGTGCATACACTGTTTAAAATATCTGTGGTGTAAAAAGTAATCTTAAAATGGTGTCAAAATCCAACACCAAGTGGTGTTAATTAAACACCATGAATAATGGTTGAAAATGTTATATATGTAGCAAACACCAAAACGGTGTTTATCTAAAAATATTTGAGAAGTGCACCTACACAGAAAAAAAGGAATAGTTCATTTAACTATATTAATTTAGTTGACCCATAAGTATATATTTAAATCAACTGTGGGAAGGTTAATATAAACAAAGATTACTTTGACGGTACTAAACCAGATAGTTATTTTATTTTTTTTAAATTGGTTAAATTAACCCAGAAAACTTTGGTGAAATAAACCCGCTGTATGGTTCAGTTTTTTAAAATGTAAAATAAGGGTTACTTCAACCTAAAGCACTCTGGTTGCTTAGTATGTACCGATCGCGGCAAAGGCGGTGTGGATCACGTGATGTTCTTAAATCTCGCCTTTGTTGACTTACATGAAGAGTTTATAAGCTCAGGTAGTCCTTTGCTTTGGTGTAACACTACAAGTTGTTCGATACTAAAGATACCTTAAATAGGTGGAAACAGCTATCAATACTTGAAGTATTTTAAGTTGGTGAAATGCACTAAAAACATTATCTCTAGCGAGTTGAAGGTTTAATTTTCTGGAATAATACCACTGCTAATATCCTAGTAATGCGTCAAGGAACTGTTTCCTTTTTTTTTCCTTGTTTTCTGTGTAGCATAATTTAATTTGACCAAAAACTCATAATATTTAACACTGAAAAGGAGTTTAATTTACACCAGATAAAATTTATTTTAATACTGTGTGAAAGTTAAATTAACACTATTTTAGTATTTGAATTAACACCGGACTAACGAACCATATTTAACACCATTTTGGTTTGTATCGATATAGACCATGTATGGTGTTAAAATGGTCATGAAATTTTGAACGATGTATAAAAACATATAAATAGAAATATTCCCCAACACCAAAACAAAACACAAAGTGCTTAATGTACTTTTCGCAAACGATTTTGGCATCTTCAGAAGCGAAGTATAACTGATTTAGTTACACTTCGCTTCTGAAGATGCCAAAATCGTTGGCGAAAAGTACTTTAAGCACTTTGTGTTTAGTTTTGGTGGGGAATATTTTAATTATTTGATTAACATATCACCAAAGTTGTCGGTTTTCAAGTATATGAATACATGAAAAAAGTTCATATGAATGTAATGTCAAAAGAAAGGTATATAAATATATATATATATATATATATATATATATATATATATATATATATATATATATATATATATATATAGCTATACTCCGTATCTTGTGACATCCCGTAAAAATTGTGTCGTTGTAACATCCACCCCAAAGAGCAGACTGATAAATAAATAAAAAATATGCCTTTTTGGAAATAATACTTCCATACGTTTTCAGTATTAAAAACTCAACCATACACATTTAAAAAAATATATTAAACATATCGTTGTGAGCTCCGCTGTATATCAAATATACATTTTTATAACCCAGGCCATGTGACATCCACAAAATTATAATGTGCTTTGTGACATCCATACAGTGTTGCCAGTTGGGTAAATAAAAGTTAAGGAGTATTGGTTCACAGTAAATATTTTATTTGTGTCCACGTTTTATTTTTAAAGGTTGTTGAATGGAGTTTTTTAATTCTTCACATTCAGGTTTCCTTGAAGGTTTCTTTAAAGCCAATTGTCTTTTAAAAAATATTTGGGCACATTTTTTTTGTTCGCTTGTCCATGGTATTAAGACTCGACGATCTTTTTTGGCTGGTTGCTAAAATTGCAAAAATTTAATTATTTTTTAGTTAAATTAATAGAAATTGGATATTAGTGTTTTTTTTTCATAACACTATAGGCATAATAATTAAATAAAAGTTTGGTTTGTATATTCTTCTAAATTTTGATATAAAATACTATATTAGCGAATTTAGGTTATTGATGAAATGTATTTTTTGTAGAATGTCAGTCAAAAATATTATCTTACGGGGCTTACAAAAGCAATGTTTGCTATTATTAATTAGGTAAACGGTACCTTGGTACATAGCTATGTTAAAAAAAATATGCAAAAAAACATTAAGACTAGCCTACTCGTCTTCGTTCTTTGTTTACTTGGTGATTGTTTTAATTTTTGTTTAAATGTGACTTAACATTTAAATAAATACATTTTAGTTTATTATTGAAACTAAATACTGTTTTAAAGAGCCCTGTAATTTAATATTATTAACTGACACCGAAAAACATCTCTAAAAAGTACCAATATCTAAAAATTCACTTTCATGGTTCAAGTATTAAATAATCATTTTATTAATTGGTAATTAAAACGTTAGGCCACTTTTTTCCATTTTAGTTTTTTAGTTTGCTTACCTTATTATTATTCACATTGCATTTATCCTTCATAGACTTTTTTGCTAACAGGTGCCTTAATGTCAGTTTTATAAAATTAGTTTTATTTGTGTATAATAATAGTATATTATGTATCATATTTTATAAACGCCATTTTAGTTACGAGTTTAATTAAGCACGAGCGAAGCTTGCGAGCGAGTGTTTAATAAAAACGAGTGTCTAGAGAAGTTTATAAACGAGTTGCATACTATACTTTATCTACGACGAACACAAAACAGAATTTAAAGCCAATTTTATTTGTTAAAATTTTGACATCTGTCAACTGTCACCCGAATTTAACCTCACTTTTTTCCAATTTATAATAAAGCTAACTTCAGCCCGTGACGTAAAATGTCGAAAAGCCACTGTGGTTAACTTCAGCCCGTCAATAAAACGCCATAAAGTTACAGCTCGTCAATGTAGGTGTAGATAAATATTGTTAATAATACTTTAAAGTTGAATTTTTTTTGTGATGCTGTTTTGAGCTAAACTTTTTGTATTTTTGTCTGTTTTATGGACCATTTAACCATGGAATATGAATTTAACTTCAACAATAATTATAAAATTATAATTTGTAAGAATTAAAAAAATTAAAGAAATGAGTTACTCTCAGGAACAGTCAAAGATGGTGACTTATCTTAAATTAATTAAACTATAACTATTTAAGTAACAAAAAATAACTATTTAAAAGTGAAAACGACTACTTGTTGGTAAACAATGCTGGTACTAATTTAAATAGTACCGTAAACACGGGTGACTTTGGCTCACTTTCAAACTTTTGCTTAAAATTTTTGTGGTTTTAACAATCATAAACATATTATATATCAAAATTTAAGTCTTAAGTTGCATTTTCATAATAACTAGGTTATAATATTAGATAAAGCTGAGTTTTATAAATAAAAATTAAAAACATGGTGTGCAAAGTTACCCCCCAGTTGCGGGTAACTTCGTCTCACAGAGTATTTTCCGTATAAAATTGGCACAATATTTTATTTATTTTTTTATTTGACACATATTAGCCCAGACATATAGCAAATGCCAGGGATTACCGACGATAAATAAAAAAATGATCCATAATTTTTTTATTTATCGTCGGTAATCCCTGGCAATTGCTATATGTATGTAAGTATGTATGTATATTATAATTAACCAAGGATCAATCATTCTTCTGCACCGATGCAATATAAACAATTTTAAAATGTGATAAATCCTATCAGTAATATCATAAGGGCATTTAATTTTTCCGAAAAGAATCGAAAAAACACGTTGCTAAGTGATATTTTAACAAAAAGCATGAGTGCTGGTGGCAACAAAAATCCGAGTTGAAGAGGAAAAAAATCCGAGTTGAAGAGGAAGATTTTTGCACCTGCACGAATGCTTTTTGTTAAAAAATATTACCTAGCATTGTGTTTTTTAGATTTTTTTCACAGGAAAAATTAGATGCCCGAATGGTATTTGACAAGACTATTTCATGAGTAATAGTTAACAATTAAAATATAAATTGCAATTTTTGGTGACAACAGCTGTCAAGTTTTGCCGCGGGTAAACTCGAAAAAACTGCTGACAGGTGCTGTCACACAGTTTTTTCACCTAGAATTAAGGAAATTAAGACGAGGGAAATAGTCGGTAAAATAAACTTCATAGTACCTATCACCTCATTGAAAGGTTTAGAGAAAAAAATGTTAATTTTATTGAGCTCGAAAAGATTTTTCATAAAAAGGTCATCCGCGGGGTGCAAAGTCACCCGTGTTTACGGTAGTTCATTTTAATAGAGTAGGTAAACCTAAATTAAAATCATATTAATTGCATGTATGGGCGCCCAGTTTTTATACGCAATCCGAGAAAAATGATTTTTGAAATTATTTATATTTTAAGTTGAGTTGAAAACGATCTTTCTAAAGGTCCAGATAAAATTTGTTTATTTAAAAATTTGACATTGCTATTGTTACTTCACAAACGCCTGCCTCGCGAACTTCAATTGCCTCTCCTGTAAAATATGATTTTATGTCCCTTTTATCGGATTGCGTCATATCAAATTTTGTAGTAGAAGTACAATTTAGCATGTGATGATTACCTCTTATATCTTAGAAATTATTGTAATTTATTGACTTTATGATACTTATATAAATATAACCTAATAATCGTAATTTATTTACCGGTGTCAGTTAAATTTAGTTCCAGAAAATAAATAATAAATTGATTTAAATAATTGCAAGAATAAGCAGCAAAAGATGTTAAACCTACGTCTTATATGAATATGAACTGAATTTTCCAAACAATAACACTTAAAACTCAAGAAACAACGTTGCCAATATTTTGATGTCACAAAGCGCGACAAATAAAAAGATAATAAACACTAATAAAAATGGATGTCACAGGATACGTTGGTTTTATTATCTAAATTATACAAAATAAACATTGCCAACTGTCCAGCGCGCTATCTGGTGGGTAAACGCGTGAAACAATTATACAAGCAAATTTTAAAACCATGTTTTTTAACATCCGTTTGATTTTTTTCCCACCCTCTCCTATCCTTGTTATAAGTAGATTTAGCATGGAAAACGTTGTGACATCCAATTTTGGATGTTACAACGTCAATGGATGTCGCAGCGCCGGTAGAAATTTTGCACCAGGAAGTCACAACGATATGCGGATAAAACTATATATATATATTTTAAAATATTAAATTTTGTATTGGATTAAAGTTATTGATAATAAACTTCAATATGTTCCAGGCCTTGTGATCGTAATGTAAAAGATGTGGAATTAATATGCGGCCGGCTTCGTCGCGTCGAACAGCTATGCAGACTCACGAACTCAGTGTTGCAACAGTTGGCTCTTTGTGGATACTACGAGGATTTGGAAAAAGGGGTGACACGTAAGTTAGATAAATACCACATGATCTTATCTTTCTATCGCACAGTGGAACAGAGTTACAATATGGTTATTCTTATACCATAAAAAATTGTTAATTTAAATCTGTAGTTATCTGTAAAAATTTTAAATAGATAAATGTACACACAAATTTCCCAAAATTGAACAAGATTAAAAAATAACCATGTCGATATTCAGCTCTGGTGTTCTAAAGAGTTATCTAAACAAGAAGTCGCTGATCTTTTTGTTTAGATGGGTATTCTGATTCTAAGAGGCATCATTGGTGTCTTTTAGAGCACTTAATACGTTTAAAGTTTTTGACGACAGAGCCTAAAGCGTCCAAAATGGCCTGATTGATTACGTTGCATTGATTAAACTACCAGATACGGATTTGTATGAGAACGTGCCGTAAGGAAAATGATCTTACTATAATCTTGTTACTAAAGAGGCTTCTTCTTTGATGTACTTATTATTAAAGAAAAACCCAAAAGTAAAAAACTGAAAGTACCACCTCAAAATTGGCCATCTGATCCGGTTTTCTTGAGTTTCGTGAAAAGTGACAAAAGATTAGAGTTGCTATTGATACTGCTGTTTAGCAGTGCAGTGCAGTGGCGGCTGGTGGATTTTGGGCACACCCATATCTCAGTTATTAGACATGGGACCCACATCAAATTTATGTGAGTTTACAATGACATTATATAGACAAGTTCTGCGCAAGCAGAATTTAAATTGAAGTTTGCGAAAAAAAGTTAGTTTTTAAGTGTGCCCCTCAGCCTCCTGCCCCCCCAAATTAAGATAATTCAAATTAAAGTGGTACAATATTTAATTCACTGAAGTTTGTCGACAAATTTCAAATTTTATTAAAAAATTTCAAGAATTACAGGTTTTATACCATTTTAAATTTTTATTATTTCTTTTACTAATACCCTGGTCCTTAACTCGCGTCCAACCAGATAAGGGCTTATAGTAAATGGAGATGCCAAAACTAAAGCCTAAGAAGGGAAAAACCTCTTTGTTTGGTAAATAGAGAGGTTTGAAATTGACCAATCTCAGTGGTAGTTTCAAATATACAAAAATGATGTAACCGAGCCTCTACATTTTGACACGTTAAGGCTGACAAGGTTTGTCAAAAACCATTACAGCCTGTAATTTACAGGAAATTTTGAATTTTCCTTTTGTTTTTTTTTCCTGAAAAATTTTTTTTCATATTAAGTCGCCGAATACATGGAAATGATTGCAATTCATGGGGAATATGGACATAACGAGAGCTGCCACTGTGATTTGTCAATTTCAAACCTTTTTATTTACCAAAAGCAGAGGTTTTTTACTTATTTGAATGAAGTTTTGGCATCTCTATCAGCCTTTTCCCTTTGGGACCCGAGTTAAGGACCACCCTTTAAATACATAAAATATGTTTTATCTTCTTCTTTAAATCGTGGAAAGGTCTTTAAAAACATATTAAAGCTTAATGCACCTAGTAACTACTTGGTAATAAATAAATCTTAAGATAAAAGTTAAGGTTTGCTTTCCAAGGAAGTGAAATGATAATGGTTTCATAAAACGTGTATTTTTTTGTGCAAAAGCAATTTTTAATTTTAAAGTTAAAGCTATATTATTATAAATAATTATATACAGGGTGTCCCGAAATTAGGGGGCCAAACTTAAACAGTGCATTCTTCATCGAAAAATAACACTTTTTTGTTTAATAAACATGTATCAAAAAATGTCCCCTACCGGAGGTACGGCTCCCTGAATATGCACAGCATACACATCTCATATTTTCAATAAAACTTTGTAGTAGGCTTTGAAAAAAAGTGACGGTTGGGTTATTTGCTGACTTTACATTTATTGTAATAGTTAAGTTAATATCTTCTGGCTTAATTTTTGTTATTTTTTCGATCGACCAAAATATCATAAAAAGGTCCAGAATGTGCATTCAACATGCTATGCAGAGTAATTTATAAATGCAATTTTCTCGAAAATGGTGCATCTGAGCGATTCAAATCAGGAGTACCTATTTTTCGTAAAAAACCATTTATTTTCATAATTCCATTAAAAAAAATTAAAATATGAACCCAAAAAAAAGTTGGGGCTATTTTTGTAACTTTGCCCCCCCAAATGTTACGCCTATGATTAAATTTTAACAGTTTTGATCATAGATCTAGATTCAGGATGTCAAAATTACCAAAGTACCGAAAATTCATTTGTTCATGTTCAACCCTCTAGGAAAAGTTTTAAAAAAATTATCCGTTAGGTGGCATTTTTTGATACATGTTTATTAAACAAAAAAGTGCTAATTTTCGATGCACTGTTTAAGTTTGGCCCCCTAATTTCGGGACACCCTGTATAGTTAAAATGGGTAGTAAATAACATTTTTTTTTAGATTTTGCTAAATAGATTTTATTTATATTTGTCTACTCCCCCATTGATAAGCTGTGACTTTAAGTCGCTTTAGTCACGGGCTAAAGTTAGCAACAGTGGATTTTGGGCATTTTAGTCACGGGCAGAAGTTAGCTTTATTATAAATTGGGAAAAAGTGAGGTTAAATGCGTTGACAGTTGACAGATGTCAAATTTTTAACAAATAAAATCGGCTGTAAATTCTTATTTCTGTTCGTCGTAGATAAAGTATAGTGTGCAACTCGTTTTATAAACTTTTCTAGACACTCGTTTTTATTAAGCACTCGCCCGCTCGTGCCCAATAAAACTCATAACTTAAATGGCGTTTATAAAACTTGATACATAATATACTATTATATAAATATTATTTGTTTGGAGTAAAAAATGTGTCATTTTATATAAAGTTTGATTATAATTTTAAACCAAAATTTAAAATGTGTATTTTTAAACTTGATAGGGCCTTATAAATAAATTTTTAATAGCTTGTATAAGCAAAATATACTCAAAAAAGGATTTTAATGAAAAACTTATTTAAATTATAAATTGTTGCCTGAATAGCATAGTAAACTAAGGTAGACAGACTGAAGATAATTTATTTTTCCATTAAACCCTTAAAAATACCCACCTTGGCTTTAAATACACAAAAAATACATTAACTATTCAAGATTCTTCTTCTTTATGCATATCACTGTAGGGTTCTTTTCTTATACACTTTTAGACGCCTCAAATAATGGGATATACTCAAATAAAACGAGAACTTTTCATGAAGAATCTATTCAATAAAAGGCACCGCGTGTTTCCGATTTTTTATTGATGCGAAAGGTCGTATAAAAATTGTAAAGTATGATACTTTTTGTGTCAATTTTTTCGGTAATATAATTTAATAGGACATAGGTACATGCTTTTAACATTAACAGAAATTTTGTTTCATTATTTAAGAAAAATAGCATATAGATTTTTCAGCTCAGCACAAAAAGACTCACTTCTCAGCCTAATAATAGTTATTTATTTCATTAGGTTAAGAAGTAAGGCTTTTTGTGCTAAGCTCAATTGAGCGAAGCACAAAAAGGCACTTCTTGGCCTATTGGCATACGATATTTTATTTTCAAAGCACTTTATATAGGTCAATTTAATTCAACATCAAAGCGGCCTAACCTCACTTTTTTAGAATTTCATTTATTTATTAGCTGTACAATACTTATTATTGCTTTTAGAAGCAGTAACAGTTTGACAATACCTAGCAACATGATTTAAGTAGAAATGGATTTTTGCTATTACATTGAATTCAATTAATTTTTAATCAATAGGTAGGTATCTAATTTCAATTTGTTTGGATTTTTATTTAAAAAATAGGTAGTTTGGAATGTTTAAGCTGTTTAACATTTAATTTCACTGAAAACTTAAAGCAAATTAAAATTTAAAGATAATTTAAATCGTAGAAAAAGAATCGTGCGTTTTCTTGGTTGCCTAACCTCACTTTTTGTTTTATTATTCATATTTAATTTTACAATAATTTAATGAAAAATATTAAACATTAACAGTAAAACAAACAAATTAGTGCTTATTTTAAATAAATTAAACCAGTTTAGTACGTTAATTTCTTAGAAAAGGATTAATTTGTCAAAACAATACCCCTAGCGAGAAAAAATCGAACTAATTACTTGCCTCATAAAAATTTTTATCGGCCTAGGCCATAACAAGGTATTTCTTTATCGAATGTTGACAACAATAAAGTTTAAATTATAGACCGCGTGGAGATAAAATAAATTACTATTAATTATCTTTACCTTCTAGACTGTAAAAATATTTTTTTTTCGCAAACGGTCATTAAAAGTTGACTTTTATATTATATGTATCAGTGTTAAAACAAAACTTTTTTGTCTACAGAAAGTAAAAGTCTTTTAAATTCGTTGCTATGTACGCAAAATGCTTTTAAATCCGTTTTAAAATTTTATCTTCCCATTTTAAGTCATTTGTAAACTGTGGGAAGCAGTTTTTGAAAAAATGTTCTTTAATACTCGACTGCGAAATTCTTTTGCTTTCTCGAATGCAAAATATATATAGACTAATCGGGTAAAACTTTTTACCTCCTAGTTTGTAAAAGATCTATTTGGACCAACATCCTATATAAGTAATAATATATTAATACTAAAATAATTTGATTACAAATTGGCTTTGACAAAGCCGCTTTGTAGTCAAAAAGTCCTTTGTAGGTAGCATGCATAAATTAAGTCCCATCCACTTAGAGAATCATTACTTACAACATAGAGCCTAATCCACGTTAATAAAGCTGTATAATTTATATTCAGAATTTGAGTTTCGGAGGTAGGTAAAACTAACACGTCGGCCTTGCTCTGAAATATGAGTATTAATAAGTGATTCAGCAAAAAACCCCGTACCTACGCCTAAATTAGGCTCTTTGTTTAATGATTCCTTGCAGCGACAAATTTTGGGGGTGTGTTTTGTCAAGGATTTATTATTTTTATTTCCTTTTACAGTTCGAATGTTTTGAATAAATATGGATCATGAATTATGTAACCACTAGAAACGCAGGTGCATAAAGCGGGCTAAATATGGAATAATTTAATCGTTTTTATAATTTATGACATATTTATTCAACTAAATATAAAATAGAGTTTTGCAAAATAAAAGTTTTTTAATGCAAATAAAATATTTTTGACTCTGGGGGTATTTTAAAAAGTTTTCCAAATCAAGTCGACAACTGGGTTCAGAATTAATAGTTATTTATGTCATTAGGCTGAGAAGTGAGTGTTTTTGTGTTGAAGGTTTGTTACAATTGAGCGAAGCACAAACAGACTCGTCTCAGCCAAATGGCATACAACATTTTATCTTCAAGGCACATGTTTCTTGGTTAAAAGATACATTAAACTTTCTTACAATTTAATCGGTGAGAATAAGAACAGTACAATTCCAAAAATTTAATTTTGACAAGACATTTTTTAATAGTATATTAAAAAACTAATGCCATAAGACGTCATTTTGTCGCACGCGGGCAATTTATAAAACGAGCGACGAAGGAGCGAGTTCTGTAATGGACGAGTGCGACAAATGGTCTTGGCTCAAAATTTCTCAAGTGTGCCACTTAAAAATTGATGGTCTAATTTTTCATCAATTAATATGGTTTTCAATCGGTTTAGGGGTAAAAACAACTGCCCTAAAATATTTTTGCAAAAAATCGATTTTTACAATACTTATTGATAATTACGTTTTTTGAGGATGTTTTTTTCAAAAATTGATTACTCCCGAACGGTTTATCAAAACTTAACATTTTTTATATCAAAATGTTCGTTGAAAAATATACTTTAGGATAAAAACTTTTTTGTTAGTGGCAAACCTTTAAAAAAAACATAAAAAAACTTTTTTTTTTAAACAATTGAAAATTAATAAAACTTCTTCGTTAATATATGAATGAAAACAACACTGTTTTAAAGTTTCACTAATTTATTTATGTTTTTAATAATTAACAATTGTTTCGCTACACTGTAGCTTCTTCAGAATTAAAACTTCTTCGCCTGCCAGGAATTTTCACATTTTTTCTGATTTTGCAATCCATTATAAAAATTTTGGTAAAAAAATTATTATTTTTTAATAGGTCAAAAGTTATAAATGATTTTGTAACCGCGCGCGCTCCGAGCTCTAGCGCTGGACGAGCACGTTCAGACGCGCGCGCGCTTAGCCATCGTGCCACTTAAAACTCTCGTGATTTTCTGCCAAAACAATTTTTTATTTTATAGAAAAAATCCATGATTTCTTCAACATTGTTTATTTGCAAAATTAAAAAAAAAAACAATTTTCTTAAGAAAAATTGGACTGCTTAATCGAACGTTAATACAAAAAAGAACAGTTTCATGTATAAGTTATCGTAATTGCTTTTGTTTGACCGGAAAATATTCTGCACAATAATTTGTTTTTTGAAGGCTGGTAACAATGAAACGAACGTGTTTGACTTATCGTTTTTACATTCAAGAATCGTGATTTTAAGAATTCTCTATGCTTTTCATGCTCTTCATTGGTACAAAGATGAAAATGAATTTTTTTGAAAAATTGTTTTGCCCACTCGAACAATCGCTCAGGAGATGTTAATAATAAATCCGTATCTTTTTGCAAACTTGTAAAATACGCGTGTCTTTTGACGGTACCTCCTATTCCATCACAAGCACCTTTGCCGTGGGACGTAGCAAAAAAGTGCCACTCTGCATCGATTCCGAAATCTTTTTTATTAAATTTAAAAATTGTACTTATTTTTATATTGTGACGCTGCCCCATCCGAAAAATAAAATATTTTCTAATTCTTCTTTTGCCGAATTTTTCCTTTAAATGAGAAATCAGTTTCCCGTTGAACAAATGTACAGCTACTGAATCGTGCTGCAGATTTTCTGAAAAAATTACGAATTCTTATTATGCAAAACATTTTTTTTCCTGTAATAGACAACAAAAACATGCAGCGTGATTTGATCTTTGCACCAATGTTGTGACTGAATTTCATTTGGTATTTTAAATGTATAATTTTCTGAAAAATCTTCAGTAACAATAAATTCGCCTTCGCCTATGGTATTTTTAAGATTCGCCAAATATTTTGCCTGGGTGCTATAAAATCATGTTTCAAAAGCACCAACAAATCTTTTGCAAGGTTTTCCAAAAAAACTTTTCTTGATTCTGTGACCACTGAAAATTGACATCTGTAAAAAAGGTTGTGCATGTACACACTGTTAGCGAGTCCCTATAATTATTTTTGCAAATAGGAAGTAAAAAAATGTTTACCTATCAGTCGAGATCCACTGGTGAAATGAAATTTTTTTGATATTCTGATCCATCAAAATTGATTGGATTTCTCGTAAAATTAGTTTTGTACCGGGGCATTTTTTGCACTCCAAAAGATAACATTCCGATTGCGGATTTTCGCAAACGATTTTCTGAAGCCAATCGCGATATGATGTTGGGTAGTCTATCTTATTCTTCATAAACTCTTGTCTCACGGCTTGTATTTTTAATCTCACATTTTGGTGAGTTTTGTAAACGCAAACATTGTGAGTACCCTTTGCTCCAACTAATATGCATTGGGGCGGTCTTAAACTCCGGAATTTCGCGAGAGATATTTGCACGTCTGGAAAGTCTTTCAAAAATCGCGAATGCAATTCATCAAGGTTGCCCATTATCAATCGTTTCTGCAATGGTTTCAATACGGTATTGAAATATTTTAAGAATTAAAAAAAAAAACCTTACATTATCGTAAGTAATATCATAAGGGCATCTAATTTTTCCGAAAAAAATCGAAAAAACCCGTTGCTAATTAATATTTTAACAAGGAGCATGAGTGCTGGTGGTAACAAAAATCCGAGTCGAAGTCGAGGATTTTTGCATCTGCACGAATGCATTTTGTTAAAAAATAGTACTTTGCATTGTGTTTTTTCGATTTTTTTCACAGGAAAAATTATACGCCCGAATGGTATTTGACAAGACTATTTCAAGGTGACAACATCTGTCAAGTTTTGCCGCGGGTAAACTCGAAAAAACTGCTGACAGGTGCTGTCATACAGTTTTTCCACCTAGAAACCATTTGTAATTCAAAATTGCGCGTTTGTGATTGGTGGAAATTAAGACGAGGGAAATAGTCGAACACAACTCACCGTGACATGCTGACGTTTCCCGTCAATGACAACTGACTTCGAATCTTTTTTTCCAGGCAAAACACGACTAATTTCATCCGATAAATAGAAATTTTTGACTACTTTCACTATCGATACGTCTAAGGGATGTCCAGTTTTTGAATTCACGCGGGATGCAAATTAATCGTAATTTTCTTGCTCGAGCTGCTAAACGACGAGAAACACCAAATACTTTTGCAGTTTTACAAACGCTCCACTGAACTGGCATTGTTGTTAAGAGGAAAATTCTCTCAGATTTCGATGGTTGTCTCAAAATTGCTTCTTTCAAGTCCTTTACCCATTTTTCACTCTGGTCGTTGTTTTCAGGAATTTCACTTCTCAATTTTAACTGGATTTTCTCTGTCATTTCCATTAAATTTCTTCTATCATCATTCGAAATGTCAAGTTTTAATCTCTTATTAGATGATTTAGTGATCTCTTGCACAATACCGATGATTTTTTCTTTTTCTATTTCATGTTGAGGGACAAAAGAACTGTCTCGCGAAATATCATCTTCTACTTCGTAGGTTAAATCGGAATCACTTGTTGTTTCAACTTTTGCGTGTACCAGATCACTTGTAACGTACATTTTGGTTTTACATGACGCGCACAAGTATTTTCCGACAAATTCAACAAATTTTTATCGTATTTCTCAGTTATCAGGGAAATATTTGTCCGCACTCGTCCGTGATTTTTTTTTTGCAAGGGATTACAACAAGATTTTGGTGTAGGCATTATCGAGCTTATTTGACAGAAAACTACGTACGATGACAGCGCGTCTGAACGTGCTCCGATCTTTAGATTCCAGCGCATGGTCGAAGCGCGGTCAGAGCGCGGTCACAAAAACATTTATAACTTTTTACCTATTGTAAAATAATAAACTTTTTTTTTCACCAACATTTTTTTAAGGGATTGTAAAATCAGATAAACTGTGAAAAAAAGGTATCGCAGGCGGAGAAGTTTTATTAATTTTCAATTGTTTTAAAAAAATAGTTTGTTTTTTTTTTTAAAAAGGTGGCCCCCATTAACAAATTTTTTTCAACAAAAATTTTGATATAAAAAATATTAAGTTTTGATGAACCGTTCGGAAGTAATCAATTTTTGAAAAAAACATCCACAAAAAATGTAATTATTAATTGTAATTATTGTAAAAATCGATTTTTTTGCAAAAATATTTTAGGAAACTTATTTTTAACCCCTAAACCGATTGAAAACCGTATTAACCGATAAAAAATGAGACCATCAATTTTTAAGTGGCACACTTGAGAAATTTTGAGCCTCTTATGACATGAATTCTTTATGCTATTTTATCTATTTGGCAAAAATTCTATAAAAAAATTAATTTTATACCTTAAATTAAATTTGGTCGAATTTTACTTTAGATAGTTGGTATCACAGTCATTGGTTTGACAGTTAATGTCAAAATCGATTCGCCATGCCGTCCTTAATTTACTTATTTACAATAAACGGCTGTTAATGTTAAAGAAGAAAAAAGGATTTTCTTTGTTGTTAAACAAAATTTATTGCCAGAAGAGTCTCGTAAGTACTAGAAAAATCCTAAAAATATTATAACCAATATGCAAAATATTATGCTGTTTAAAGTATAGCCATTTTTGCACCGAAAGCGGTGTTATAATGAAGTCATTATGAACCCAAAATAGATAAAATCAATTTTAAAGTTTAAAATGCATTGTGAGAAGATATAAATCATTTGACAGAGTATGAATCTTATATTTTATAAAATGTTCTAAAAAAATTGAATATACAACTATAAAACTGATTTCTTTAAATATTTTGCCAAAATTTTAACTTTTGGACTTCTACTGTTCTTAATCTTACCGATTCAATTATAAAAACAATTGTTAAAAGTATAAAGTAAGGTTACAGCTCAGAGCTGTCATCAGTTATCGAATTTTTTGATTGGTTCTAAAGGGGGTTCTACAGACTAGGATATAAAAAACTTAACCTGACTGGTATAAATTATTTTTACAGACTAGGAAATATTCTTTGGAAGTGAGCTTAATTATAGAACGCTTGAATGTAAAATACTTTTTAAAGTTTTCGTAAAAGTTCCCTATTATTTTATAAAATAAAAACAGTTCATAAAAAATTCTTAAAAATTTCTATTTTTCTACACCTCTGACCTTCTGCTTTTTAACTGGAGTGGAAAGGCTCCCCGGAAAATTTAAAATAACTAGCATTAAATGGTTAGCTTTTTCAGATATTTTTTACCACAAAATAATTGTTAACATTCTTTAATTATGATACAAAATTCATAAATGCATTGTTAATTACTTTTTCTACTCCCATGGTGCACCTTTAAAACTCCAATTATCGTACATGTTTCCATGAGACTAGTGATTTTAAATACACGTTGACAAGTTATGGCGTTTTAGTCACGGGCTGAAATTAGCAACAGATTTTTTAGTTAGTTTTAAGTTAGTTGAACATTTCAGGTGAAGACTCCAATGTTAAATACCATAAAACAATCTCTTTACTTTCAATGTGAAAAACTGCTCATATATCATCATTTCAACGGTTATTAGTCTATTTTCAACGTTTAAATTTCGATTTAAACATGCAAATTTGACATTTTGACTGGCGCGCCGGTAATACAGATTCCCAAGTTGGAAATTTTAAAGATGTCGTTCTACAAAAATATTTAATTTAAATCATTCAGGTATTTTTCGTAGAAAAAGTATAGTATGTAACTCGTTTATAAACTTTTCTAGACACTCAATTAAAATTCGTGACTAAAATGGCGTTTATCAAACTTGACATAATATACTATTAATTAATAGCCAAAGTACCTAGTGTAAAGTGATATCATTTACTTTAAAATTTTGGGGTGGCAAAATACAGGGTTGGAATTTGCAATAAAAAAACAATTAAATTAAAAGAAAACTCATTTCAAAATGATTTATTTATACATATGGGTATGCAATTTAAGGAGTTGCTGAATGTATGTATTATTCTAGTAGCATTTAAACAGAACTGGCCTATTACCTCGTCACCGCCCAGATAGCACACTGATATCCTTAGAACGTCAACATTGGACATAAAAGACGTCTACGGTCATCCGAAGACCGCAAATGGACTGTTTTGGTTGATCTTTGGTTGGCCTTTGGCCGTCCAATTATGGTCTATTGAAGACCGTCATATATATATATATATATATATATATATATATATATATATATATATATATATATATATATCTATATATATGGGTGTATCTCACAAAATGTCCCCCGATGGTGTTACCCCATGATATTTAATAAAACTAAATGAGTTTGACTTACACTTTTATTGTGTTTTGATCTTTCGTAATTAAGTAGATATTACAGCTCAGGTTTCAGATTTTTAACCGCAATTAATTATTTTTTACAATCTTTTAAAAGTCTAAAAACTATCTTCCGTGACTGTTATTCTTTTTAGGTTAACCTATATGTTTTCAAATATCTGAGGTAGTAAAAGCATACCGAAGATATCAGTTCACAAAGTAAATTAAATCATCCAAAGCAATCGAATCAAATATAAAATATTATTAAAAATTAAAAGAAATAATTTTTATAAGCATATATGTAGGTGTTACAAAAATTGATTATATCCTCCGTGAATCTGTTTTTGCTTTAAATTTTATGCAACGGATGGCGCTTTAATCATTTTAAATAAGCAAAAACCTCTGTTTACGACATTATAGATGCATGTGATTCCTGAAGGTCAGTTAGAATCTATACGCAGATGAGAGTGTTGCTGTTTTATAATTCAGAAGTTTAAGTTCATTAATTTGCTATTTAAAAACCTATCCACCGTGAAGTGTAATATCTCAGTAAGTAGATAGTTTTTATAAATATTTTATGTATGTACAATTGTATTTTTAAAAAATATTAGGTGTTAAAAGATACAATAACTTATTTCAAATATACAAAGGGATTTTTGAAAAACAACATACGAAATCCTAACATCCGTGAAGCAGTTATTACTAGACCTGGTGGCTTGGGGGACATTTATAAAAATAAAATATAAAAACAAATCTAAGACAGAAATAGAGTTACTCCACTCCACAAGAAACATAACCTCACTTTTGTAAATTTGGGATTTGTTCAAATAAATAGGCTTCTTGTGAAATTTAGTTGTACTGCTAGCTTCTTTTGAAGCAGCATTTAAATATGTACAGTAATTGGAATAAAAGCATCGCAAAACAAAAGTTTTATTATTGAACAGGGAGTTTTTGTTTGCATTTATATGGCTCTTACGTTTTATTACACAACCTGTAATTGGAAAATTGCCTTTTAATTGGTCGTTTGTTAGGCTTCCACGTTTTGCTTATGATTTTTGACAATTACACGATAATTAACACGTTAATCAGTACTTGCGTAAAATTTATTTTTGTAATAGTGGGAAAAGTACAATTTGGTTAGAAGATTTAGGAAATATGTACCCAGATGGAAAATGATTGTCAAAAATTATTTTAGACTTATTTATTAATAAAATTCTTGCCTTAACAAAATGGTGGAACCAAAATGGAAAAGTACTAAAATTTATAAAATTCATTCATATATGTATACATAGAATCAATAAAAATATTGCTCCTTTAAAAATTTATCGTTCAATAGTTTTTTGTGTGCAGGATGTTAAAATTTTAATAAAAATAATTGTCTATCACGTTTTATACAGACAGTTTTATATAGAAGGTGTCACTGAAAATAATAATTTTTAATTTAATTTAAATTGGACACAAGTTTACACATTTGCCTAAAATAGGTCAGTTTTAATATTAAGTGAAACTCTGAATGAATTACCCAGATAAGAGATAATTATTTAACATATAAATAATATAGAATTTTAAGTACAGCCCTTTCCAAAAAATTAAATTATTAAATAAAAATAATATAATGTATGATATTTTTTATAATAACAACTGTTATTGTTGTTTTTAGCTAACCATTCCTGATGAAATAAGTAATAAAATAAATTATTTCAAATAATAAAATTCGGTACTTTGGTTCTAAAACTAGTTAAAAGAGATAAGATAAATAAATAGTTTGTTTAATATTCTTCAACATATTCTATTAAAATAAAGTTTTAACACTTATAATAAACACTATTTCCAATGTAAGGTAGTAAATCATGTGCTCAAATAAATTGTTAAATTTTTGTTATTAATTTCACAGTTTAACACGATTTTTCTCCCATGAAATTTTTTAACAGATTTAAAAAATAAAGGTTTAAAAAACGTACCCGTGCCTCACCGTTTCACAAAATCACGTTATTTAAATTTCTTATACAGCCATTCTTATTATTTTAACCTATACAGATTTTTAATTCTCTATTTTGTTATAAATTATTTTTCTTCTTCAAATAATGTATGTTTTTACATAATACAAAAATTATACATAAAGAAAATAATTATTTTAAATTAAAAAACAGATTTGTATTTATCTTATATTATTATTATTTTATTATATATATACACTCACAGGCAAAATAATCGATCCACACAAATTTTCAAAGAATTTCAATCGTAAATAACTTTTTTATTTGATTTCCGATTTAAACAAATATTAAAGAATATTGTAGATACAT